AAACACAGATAAGTTCACAGGACCAAATGAAAAATTTGACTTATCTGATGTTTCCAGCCGTGTTTCTATGAACGGAGACATTTTGCATGAATGACTGACCCTATTACTGGATAAGTATTTCATAGCACGGGCCTGACAGTAATGAGTAAGTTATAAATAAGTAAAATTGTTTTGTAATTTTATACAATATTGATATTTTTAGCCCACCATCTAATAGATGGTGGGTTATTCAAATCGCCCTGCGTCCGTGGTCTGTCGTCCGTCTGTCCGTAAACAATTCTTGTTACCGCTATTTCTGGAAAAGTACGGGATGGATCTTTCTCAAATTTCATATGCAGTTTCTCCTTGGTCCCTAGTTGTGCATTGTACCTTTTTTGAACTGATTCGCATTCAAGATGGCCGACAGGTGGCCATCTTGGATTTTGGAAGTAAAAGTTTGTTACCGCTATTTCTGGAAAAGTACCGGATGGATCTTTCTCAAATTTCATATGCAGTTTCCCCTTGGTCCCTAGTTGTGCATTGTACCTTTTTTGGACTGATTCGAATTCAAGATGGCCAACAGGCAGCCATCTTGGATTTTGGAAGTAAAAGTTTGTTACTGCTATTTCTTGGAAAGTACCGGATGGATCTTTCTCAAATTTCATATGCAGGTTCTCCTTGGTCCCTAGTTGTGCATTGTACCTTTTTTGAACTGATTCGCATTCAAGATGGCCGACAGGTGGCCATCTTGGATTTTGGAAGTAAAAGTTTGTTACCGCTATTTCTGGAAAAGTACTGGATGGATCTTTCTCAAATTTCATATGCAGTTTCCCCTTGGTCCCTAGTTGTGCATTATACCTTTTTTGGACTGATTCGAATTCAAGATGGCCGACAGGCAGCCATCTTGGATTTTGGAAGTAAAAGTTTGTTACTGCTATTTCTTGGAAAGTACCGGATGGATCTTTCTCAAATTTCATATGCAGGTTCCCCTTAGTCCCTAGTTGTGCATTGTACCTTTTTTGGACTGATTCAAATTCAAGATGGCCGACAGGTGGCCATCTTGGATTTTGGATGTTAAAGTTTGTTACTGCTATTTCTTGGAAAGTACTGGATGGATCTTTCTCAAATTTCATATGCAGTTTCCCCTTGGTCCCTAGTTGTGCATTGTACCTTTTTTGGACTGATTCGAATTCAAGATGGCCGACAGGTGGCCATCTTGGATTTTGGATGTAAAAGTTTGTTACCGCTATTTCTTGGAAAGTACCGGATGGATCTTTCTCAAATTTCATATGCAGGTTCCCTTTGGTTCCAAGTTGTGCATTATACCTTTTTGGACTGATCCAAAATCAAGATGGCTGCCTGTGTGTGATTTGAGAGTAAAATCTTGTTACTGCTATATCTGAGGAAGTACTGGATGGATCCTTCTGATATTTCATAGATATTGGTTTCCCTTGGTCCCTAGTTGTGCATTGTACCTTTTTTTGGACTGATTTGAAATCAAGGTGGCCCACAGGCAGCCATCTTGGATGTCAACAGTAATACAGCACAAGCATATTGTCCATTATCCACCTGTAACTGACTGCTATCTAATAATACTTTGGGATCTTTTTCAAATGATATTTGCTAATTGGTGCTTAATAAAAATATCTTGTGCCATCATTGAGTACATTCAATGAAGACCAGTTCATGAACATTTACAACACCTGTAACAAACAAAAAAAAAATAAACAAATCTTCAAGAACTGAAAACAGATCCTCAAATGGTGGGCGCCAAGATCCCTCTGGGATCTCTTGTTTACTTAGATATAAGTTCTAAGTACGAATATGAAACAAAAAATGTAATGTGAAACACTCGTCATTGAATTGCACAACACGTGCGGATACACACCCAATCTCATACACATAACTTAGTGAATCAATACCGAAAGTGATACAAATATTATACTCACTAACAAGTCCTGTCAACAATATTTTAAAGTCATACTCATTAAATATGTACCCTTGAACATTCTACATTGATATGACATGGACAGCACTGAGGAAGGTTAAGAAAAGCTGAAGGTCATGGCAACATCACTTATGCATGATTTTACTTGTACAGTACTGTAAGAACATAACAGTAAAATAGAATAAAATAGAACTAGCACTTTGTATTTGTACATGTATATCAGTAAATGTATTTAAAATCATATACACATGTGTCAATAACAAAGTAGTATTTTTATTAATCTGCATCAGCACTATAGTTACTGCTTGTTTTTCCTTTTAGTTTCCGGCAGCCATGCACCTAAAACTCCTAAACAAATGTTTCAATGACAAGTATTTTTATCAATCAGCATTGGCGCGGTAATTAGCGTTTAGTTTCTGGCAGCTGGGTGCTGATCACACTCAGTCATTCGGACTGATGCCAGGAAATTTTTACCTGAGACGAGGTGACACCTGAATGTAAGACACAAAAAAGGAAATTTTGGTAGAATTTATAAGGGATGGACCACAAAACATATTCAACACAAACGCAGTATTTGACTCAACAGTGATTTGATCATAACAATAATCTCAGAAGTAATTAGAGGTGATACAAAAAAAAGGAAGTACAGTTTATAAATTGTAGACTGCAATGGTTTACACAGAATTCTTCATGACCTATCAGGATTCTGACCTGTGTGACCCTTGTATCTTGACCTTTTATGGTGATAGGTATCCCAGGTGTTATACACCTCTATATCAGTACATGCTGGTTGCTATTTAGCCACTCTGTTATATATATAGTATCAGGATAAGGTGACTATTACATGTAATTGTAGGCTAGCATTACTGGTGTGTTATACTAGTCACAATTTGGAGCTACAAATGTATTCTATTGACCACACTGTGCTTAATTACCACTAAACATGGCAGCTGTGTGTATTATCCTGTCCAGTCTAAGTGATGTGGGGCTGAAACTCCACCCACTGGTCAGACTGACCAAACAGGCTGACCAGGCTGACCAAACATCTTGATCAATAAGGGCACACATATACGGTTATACACTGTTGGTGTAGTATCTTTATGCTTTTTATGGTTGTGGAAGTAAAACACATGGCAGATGACTTTGAAATTCTTTCCTCTAAAAGATGTAAACAACCTTCTGAAGTAAGCACACATAACAAGTTGAAATGTAAACAGTACAGTATAAACCTGGGTCCTTTATTACAATTCTTCCTGGTGTCCAAACTAGTTCTTATATTCCTGTTGGTGACATGAAAGTTCTTCTCATTGGTAACATATAAAAGGCTTTATAAAGGTGCATTCAAGTAATCCTAGACATGCTAACAGAACTGTTGTGAAAAAAACATATTGAACGGTTAAGGAAAGCTAGATTGAGCTATTAGCTGCCAGTATTACTGATTTTGGATTGGATGTATGACAGTGTCAAAGGTCACTGATTGGATATTCCTCAGTGTCAAAGGTCACTGATTGGATATTCCACAGTGTCAAGGTCACTGATTGGATATATCACAGTGTCAAGGTCACCTAGTATCACTACTGCTGTTTCACCTAGTACCTCTACTGTTTCACCTAGTACCGCTACTGTTTCAACTAGTACCACCACTGTTTTACCTAGTACCACTACTGTTTCACCTAGTACCACTACAGTTCCACCTAGTACCACCACTGTTTTAGAGTGCATGCTCTCGCTGAAATGGTATAACCTCATTGATATACAAGGCTTTACCAGATGCACTGTTGTGTTGTCAGCAGCATGTTTTTTTGAAGTTTTTTTAAGGCATATGTTCATCCTGGTTTTCTTCAGTTTCTTCTCCTGGCTCAGTGTAACAACTGATAAACATTGGTTTTCATGAAAAAGCATTTCTTGTTTTCATTTTCGTTTGGAAATAATAAAATATTATATACGTGTGGAGTATATTCCTGTGTGGTGTGAGTGCGGTTTATACTTCTGTACTAACCAAGCTTGTTTTGTTGTTGTTTGTCTTATTAATTTGTTTGATATTTCATACTTGTGTGGTATTCAGTAAGTCATTATTAGGGATATGATAAATACACACTAGTGTTTGTCTATAAATAACCTCAGACACATGCAACATGCCCTCACAACAGCTTAACAACACTGATACCATTCTTACTCTACATCTTTACCCCACATATATACTTGTCTTTTACAGATACTGTGTACTGGGATTGTTGGGACTGAAATTTTTTAGTGTTGGACTACAGCTTTGCCTCCGAGATTCTCTCAGATTTTGAGAACCCCTATATATCTTTGTAACTTAATTCAACAAATATTTGGAAAATGTGATCTGGACACACAGAAAATAAGTCATACAAAAAATACTGTGTATAACAAGGTTTCTTTTGGCCATAAGATTGCATGGCAGACACTTGACTGAAAAATCATAATTATTGAGAAACATTACATACTCTTACATGTTCCTCTCTAATAGAACATAGTTGATGCCAAATCGCATAATAAACCTCCTGTTATACAAAATTTTACTTTACACAATGAAGCCTACAAGTAATTTTCAGATAGGATTCAAATTTTATCACAAAATACTACGTTCTTTGACTCATTGTTGTCCTTTTTTCATCTAATTTTGATTGGTATTTATGTCCTTGTCAGGTTCATCTAAGACAGGGTCTTATTGTGTTAGCTGACGGCTACTTCACTGAACACATACTGGAGGCCTGCAAACATGATATTCCAGATCATATAGCAGAGATTTTCTAGCTCTTGTTACAACCATCACAGCATATGACAACATCTGAACTCTAAGAAAACACATGTTCTAAGTAGGGATTGGATATTTCACCTGATGTTATGAAGGTCTAATTCTTCACTGACTGAGATATCACAGTCCCTGAGACGATGACAAATACTGAGATTGTTCTACATGTCTTCATACAATTTAGTATTTAGTAATTAACATGTGAAATTTGCAATAGAAAGTACTTATGTCTGAGCACAGTCCAGTCCTTGGTATTTTGTTACATTAATAATGATGAATCATCTTCTTTGACAGGGTCAGATGAGTAAGTAGCCATGCCGTTCATACAGCGGTGTATAGAGCCGACACAGGTGAGCCGTGAGGAAGTGGACAAGTCAGTTACTAATGAATTGGAATGTGTCACTAATCACACTCTCAGTAACATCATCCTTCAGCTCAGCAGTCTCAGTAAACATGCAGAGGACATGTTTGTGGAGCTCACGGCCGAAGCTGACCTGTTTAACAAACGGGCCGGTCAGCTCCAATACAGAATTGACCACCTTCGGGACAAGGTCACCCAACTTGATGCAGCAGTGGAACCAGGTATGTATCTAATGTAAACAATAAGATACTGGGTACATTACGACAGCAGTAACAAGGCAGTTAGTAGCAGTTCTACACTTATTTGTTAGCATAATTCTGGAGAAATAAAATAATGAATACAAGTTAGCTGTTATTCCAGGGCAATAACTTTTATAATTATCTGTTGTTTCAGTATCACTACAGGACATCCACCTCAGGAAGCCATTTAAGAGCTCTATGCCTCATGACCAACAGGTGATATCACAGAATACTATTCCACGTGCCATCCAGAACAGCTACAACCATTGCGATCAGCCTCCAGCTCTTGGCAAACTAGATGTATTTAGGTTAGTTTTACTGAAAATGCCCTAGTCATACTTTACTTGAGGTAAACTGGTCTTGTACAACATGTTTACATTTGTATGAGATTAATAACACTTTGATAACACATAAACAGAATTAACATCTTGTTTATTTGTTTTCATTATGACTTTTTGCGCCTTGAGAAATAAAACCAGGAAATGGCTTTGATAATTTTTTCAGTTGTCTCGGTCACATTTTCATTCTTTAAGACATTCTTACAGTAGTAAATAATTGATTCCAAGTGTTTCACTCTGAGGTAAGAGAGAGACCATGTTAATGTCATACTTTTTGTTTCTAGGGAGGATGGACGAGACAGTATGAAATTTTATACTGATCCAGGCTACTTCTTTGAATTATGGTATGCAGAAATTCAAAAAGACATCGAACAAAAACGAACCGAATTACGAAAAAAGAAACGACAGGTATGTATAGCATAAAACGTCTTGGTTAAGAATTCAATATAGAAATTGATTATTATAGTCCTCCAAAGGGAGAGCATATAATCACTGCTTTGTCTGTCCATTCGTTCCTCAGTCATTTTGTCCATTTGTCTGTCCTTCTGTCATAGTTTTGTCTGCAGCACATCACAAAGATCTTGATAAGGAGAAGTGCTGTGTAAAAGAACCATACGTCTCTATGATTGAGGAGTTACTGACATTTGGTGTTTACATTGGTCATACTAAGAGAATGTGCAGTATATCGAATTCAGGGTCTGCAACTTCTTAATTACGGAATGAATGCCCTTTGATTAAACTTTGTGTCTAATTAAACCATTTTTAGGGAGCATTTATCAGTGTCACTGATACTCTTGTTCATGTTTTCCACCAAAATGACAAATTAATGTTGTCATTGGAATAATTTTTGCTTTGTTTTTCAGAGACCTGGTAAAGAGCAAGCAGGAGGTCGACGCCCACGACAGGTTGTCACAAAGAAAGAAAAATATGCCCATGCAGCACAGGGTGTAGAGTTCAGTGAACATTACAAGGATCCAAGGGCTCTTGGTATTCAGCCCTCTGCTAACCACTACTCCTCACAGGAACTCCATAATGATACCCGTCAGTCTGACCAACATCAACGGCCAGGCAGTCTGGACGTTCGCCACAATCAGGCCAAGGGACATCAAAAGAAACAGGTCAATGGGCCCCATCCTGCTGGTCCTCCACCACAACAAACCCAGGGGTACCCACAACAATCAGGGCAGCATATACCTGAACAGGAATTCCCAACTCCACCCTACACCAATCATCAACCCTACTCCTCTCCCCAGCACCAACCAAACAGAAACTCCACACGTCCACACACTGTGATGCAGAGTCCTGCCCGCCCCTCCCAGCCTCCACCTGCTCCTCCTCCAAACATGGGTGACCGACAGAGTCCATCTACAAGGGATAGCTTGCCTCCACCACCACCCCCACCAGATCCGCACATGTCATACACCCCCAGCCCTCAGACAACCCCACAACCACCCCGTCACCCACTGGTCCATCAGAATAGCCGACACTCCCCAGCACACCAACCACACCACTCTAGTCCTGCACGACAAGACTCTACTGTCCTTCCTCCTCCCCCACCTTCTCCTCCAAATTCACAGACACCAGACACTCCAGTCAACCTACCACCGCCACCCTCTCCTCCAGGCATGGGTGTTTTGCCCCCACCCCCACCCCCTCCTCCTCCACCCCCTCCTCCTCCTCCTGCAGAACCAAAGCTGAATGGTATAGGTCACATGGCCCCTGACACAACCTCCATTTCCTCATCAACTAGCTCAATGACTACATCGTCAACAGGAAATATGCCTGAGCCGCCACCACCAGGCAGTGGACGAAGCGCCCTCCTGGAGGAGATTCGCAACAAAGAATGTAAGTATAGATGTGATAGCTAATGGTGAGTAAACAAGACAGGGAGAGTATCCTCAGATATAAGATACCATGTGGATAGTTCTAACACCTTTAATGTTGTTGGTAATGTTTTGAGGGTGTATCAGAACTGATTTAATTGTGATGTTATGACAACGTTGTTATTTTGTATCATCAATGAAAATCTTTTGATTTTGTAGTTCTCAAAATGAAATACTGTTTTTTACTTGAACAGTGTACAGTCAGCTGAGGAAGGTGGAGGATCGCAAGAAGCAGGAAGAAGAAAAGAGAACACCAACCGGACGCTTTGATGTGCATTCCATCATGAATCGGGCATTCGAGGTCAGACGCAAAGCCCTGGAGGCAAGCGACACAGAGAGTGAGGATGGATCCTCGGAGGAAGAATGGAACTGATTGGATAACATTTGTTACTATGGAAACATTTTACCCAGGAATGTGATTGGTCAATCAAGCATATAACCTGTAAGCTTGCATTATTACCCAGGATTATGTAATGGCTGCATTGAAGGTTTGGTAGGAAATTCTGATTTCAGAAAAGGAGGGTTTGGAAAGTATATGGTTTGTGTCGCGTGCATGAAGGATAAAGCATGAAATGCTTGTGTTTGTGGTACTTATTCCACACTACTTATACCAGTGGACTAAAATGGGGAAATTGACCTTAGTCCATACTTAAGAGTGATGAAGCAGTGCCTGAGGACTGTCACTTAGAGTGGTGAAATAACTACTACTGTACTTACCCTCGCAGGCTCTATATGGCTGTTGCCATAGAATTAGTTTTATACACACAAGCTATAAATTTACTTTTGACATAACACTTTGCTTGTAATGATTTGAATTATTCAGATTTGAATATAATTATTATATATGTATGGTATTGTACTAACCCTCATTGTATATCATTAATCAGACATGTTGTCTGAATCCTGTTTTGATCAAATCCCCCAATAGGTGGAAAAGACCTCTTCCTGTATAGTAAACCTCATGGCTGCTAGGTTTCCCTCGCTGTATCACAACTGACTTGCATCTCACAGTGTAATAAGTGATTATAAGCTGTAATACAAGCTGTATGGTCACACTTCTCCCCTACTTGGTACATCAAAAATGACAAATGTTTCTCAGACATGTCTCTAATGGCATGCCAAAGTTGACCAGGGGAGGTAACCCAGTACAAGTAAGGACAAGTGTCTCCCAGACTTGTCTCTAGTGGCAGGCCAAGGCAAGCCAGGGGAGGTAACTCAGTGCAAGAAATAACTACCAGTGTCTCCCAGGCTGGTGACTGGCTATAGTACACCATAAGAGTTAACCCAATATGAGAAATGACATGTGTCTCTTGATAGCTGACCATGGTTGACCATGGGTGATAACTCAGTAAAAGTGATAACAAGCGTGTATCTCTTAGACTTGTCTATATTGGCTGGCCGAGGTAGACCAGGGGAGATAACTCATTAAAAGTAATAACAAACTTGTATCTCTCAGACTTGTCTCTAGTGGTTGGCCGAGGTAGACCAGGGGAGATAACTCATTAAAAGTAATAACAAGCTTGTATCTTGCAGGCTTGTCTCTAGTGGCTGGCCGAGGAAGACCAGGGGAGGTAATTGAGGATATTTGTGCTGTGTGATCGACATGTTCACACCACATATGTACATGTGTTTTTTGTGTATATGTGCTATACTTGTGACTTGATGTTAGCTGCTGGTAAGATCTAGGTCTTCCTATCTCCTGAACTTTTGTAAATTGACATTTATCATGAGGTCAACCAAATACAAACATTGTTTATATTCTGTTAGTGTTTGTAGTTGTAATTGTTTTTGAAACAATTTTGGTATGGTCAGTTTGAGAACAGCTTGTGTGATCAAATTTACCTTCTTATATTGAAAATCATATTGAGCTACTTCCTTTTGACACAAAATGTTCAGTGTCTATTTCAGGAGAAGAAAATCAGGTATATGTATTTGAAAAACATTTCCTCCTGTTTTTGTATTCTCATCCTTGTACCAGTATCAAAATTGTACATATAAAGGAGATGTGTATAGATATGTTTACTATTGTGCAATATTAAGAAAGTGGGGTTTGTTGTGGCGATTATCTATCCCGGTACTACACAAACAGTGATCGTTACACAGACTAGAGTGCTCAAAATATACCCTTGCTAGAGTACTGTCCTCAAAATTGAATGTATCAAGGCTAAATTTATGTACATTCATTATTCTTACATTTTTTTCAAAGATATCACATGTTTTGTGATATCAATAATTTTCAATATATTTGGCATACTCGATAAAGAACTTGCTACCAAACAAAACCAAATTGCTAATGACTTAACTGTATTTTCATGTTAAGCAATCTCTAGAGATCTGCTTATAATGATGAAATGTTTGTGGCACTGTTTTCAGGATAGGAAGTAATTATTTTTTGGTGTTTTACTAATCTGGATTTTTCAACACTCAAACGTCAGCAGCTTGACGGCCATTTTTAGAATAAAAGTATTAAAAGGATTATAAAGTGATGTGTGTATATAGAATGTGTTTTGCTCTGATGTTATTGAAGAGAGATTATCTGTAACCTATTATATATATAATTGTGTAGTTTTATATTTGGAGATAAAAACTTCTCATTTAAATTACAGTACTCTATATATATGTACGTATGTAACCGACACCAGGTAGATACCAGCTGTACAATGATAGTAAATTTCAGAATTGGACACATATATTTTGAGAGTGAATGCTGATATAAGTAATGTATGTTTGCCTATATGTACATTTCATTAATTAATCATTGGTTTCCGTGGTTTCTCATTTATTATTCCCTTCAGATCACAGTTGACTGGCCGACAATGGAGAGGACCAGTCCATTGTGGTCATTAAGGGATGATAGGTTACTGTATTTAACCAAGTATAACAGTGTACTACATTTGTAGTGTGCCTGACAATATATTGTGGTGATTTCTGGATGTTAAGCATGTGTGGTGGTGTAGTCATTCCTGGTATTCTCTACATTGTTATAGCTACTGTGACTATAACATTAGAGAGGCTGGTAGAATGATACTTTATCAACAAAACTCTTTATACTACTATTTTTATTATGTAGCAATTAGTAATTTTGAAATGCCAGATGTATTGCGTCATTTTATTTCAATATCTGTGTTCTTTCATCGCCAGAAACCCTTCCTATGTTATTGCTAAGTTCCCTATCCAAAGTAGTTCATTTCTATGGTCTATTCTTGGAACAGAACCATTCAAGGAATTTCCAAAGACCTAAGCTTTAAATATGAAACAGAAACCAAGTTAGTGAACCAATGTCCTTTTCACTAAGACTGAAGTACTGATTTCCTTGTTTAGAAAAGCAGGAATCAACACATTTCTTAAATAAAGTTTTACGATTAAGGAATCGGTAATAAATGAAATAAATAAATTTTGTCGAGATCAAACCTAAAAGAAAAGTGGCTTATCATTACAATTTTCTCTCCTTTGCTATGTTAAATCATTTTGCCCCCTTTGCACCTACCCAAGATAAAATGCTCCACTGGTTAGATCTAACACATCTACAGTGTTAAGAACTTTGGAAAGTTTAGCATATGATCAACACTTGACTCTAACAATTGTTCTATTATCTATTAAATATAAGGGCTTGTATTGTAACACGTTTCCACTTGGAATATTTTGATTTTTTATCAAAATTGGTTAGTTCAGTATTTACCAAAGAGATACAGATGTCACTAAGAGGTGCTCATTGTAAGATTGCTGGGCACCATGTCATTGTAAATACACATATTTATAAAGCTTTTTCTGTATTCATTCTTTGTAATTTTTAATTATGTTTAAAGCTATCAGATATAAATATTAACCAATTTTCTTACAGTTTAAAATATCACTAATTCAAAATAAACCATGGGCTTTCTCTAAAACAATGTCCTGATCATCTTATATAGAACTTAACTGGAATTCTGATGGAATCTAATTTAAGTGTTCAGGTGACTTGCAGAAAATGATTGGGAAAGTATCCTACAGAATTAAAGACATCATGTTGATCCCTTTTTGTATAATTTTTGTATTTTTAAGTGGTTACATCAGCATTACAGGAGAAAGTGTTACCTTATTTATAGTTAATTAACCCAGCATTGGGATGGACACCAAGTATGATAAACTGTTTATATAGTGTTTACCTGTGTACAGTGTCCACCTGTGTACATTGGCCACCTGTGTATAGTGACAACCTGTTTACAGTGTCCATCTATGTACAGTGGACACCTTTGTACAGTGTCCATCTTTGTACAATGTCCACCTGTGTATGGTGTCTTTATGTGTATGGTGTCTTTCTGTGTACAGTGTCCACCTGTATATGGTGTCCTGTGTACAGTGTCTGTAATCTGTTGTACCCATCCTGTACATAACCATATACGGTGCTCACTCTTGCACCATTCTGCTGTATTTAGGCAATAAAATCTGGCTTCACATCATAACAATATTTGAGTTTTCTTGTTTTTTTTTTTAAAACTTTAATGTAATGGTGAGTTTTGTTCAATTTTGTGTTACAACAGAGGACAAGGCAAGCTTGTTAACCATGTTACAGCTACATACAACAGAAATCTCTTTGTACACTCAATCATGACATGGTGCATTTTCTGAAGGGCCTTTGGAAAAGATAATTTTTGGCAGAGTTATCAACCCTATTTTCTGCACCATTGCCCGACTCTCAATCAATCTCTTTAAAACTGATCAGGCTTTCTATCCACAGCTGTAGAATTGGGATAGTGACACTACCTCTGTTCATTAGTCCCTAAGATTGTGCCACTTTCTGCACAATATCGCAAGTTATATTTGGTAACCTGTTAACCAAGACTTCATACATTTCTTATTCACTATATATGCTACTTATGGTCATTCTACCAAATGGATCTTTTCGATCTTTTCCTTTCTTCTCTTCTCTCCTCTATCTGTCCTTATTAAACTAAAGTTGAAATTTTTTGTCAAGAAATAGCAATAATGATCTTCAACTCTCAAATAAAAGGTGGCCCCCTGTCTGTAATTTATTTTTCTGATCAGTCCCAAAATCAAAAGGATCCAAGGAAAAACTATATACATGTATAAAATTTGAGAAATGTCCATCCAGTGTTTCACCTTTCGGCAATTTAATTTTTGCCTAGCAGACTCAAAATTGAAATACATATACAGGGACCATGGGGCACTTAATGTGCAATTTGAGAGTTATTTCAGTACTTCTCAAGAAAAAGCAAAAACAAAGTTTCGTATCAAAATACAAGACGGCTGCTTGTCCATTTTATATTTCTAATCAGTTCAAAAATCCAAAAGGACTAGGCACCAAGGGAATCTATAGATGAAAATTGAGACGGATCCATTCAGTACTTTCCAAGTCCTAATCTATGATGGCTGCCTGTTAGCCAGTTTGTTTTTTTATCAATGCTTAAATCAAAAAGGCACCTCGGGGACCCTATGCATAATTTTGAAATGATCTGTTAAATACTTCTCCAAAAGTAAGGATAACAAACTACTACTGTCAAGATCCCATGATGGTGGCCTTTCTGCAAAGTTGTGTTTCAGTTCAATCCAAAAATGGGATAGTACACAACTAGGAACTACATTCAAAATTCGAAAATGATCTGTCAAGTACTTCACCAGGAAAAGCAATAATTATGTCCAAGTCCAAGATGGCTGCTTAGTGGCCATGTTGTTTCATTGGATCAGTCCAACAATTGAAAAATTCACAATTAGGGACTAATGGGAACCTACACATGAAATTTGAAAAAGATCCCTCCAGTTCTTCACCACAAATAGCAATAACAAGAATTGTTTAAGGACAGATGGACTGACAATGAACAATAGGGGACTGAAAATTTTATCATTTTTGTGTCATCTGACCCAATACGACAGCCAGGGAGGCCATTTTGTAACATGATTATGCAATCTTGGTTTTCCTGTGCAACACCTATTTCAAACTTCTCAAGTTTCACCAGTGGGATTGAGCTCCAACTTTGCTATCAAATAATAGGTAACACTTGTTACAATTACCAACTCCTCACCAAAACTACCATCTGTATTGTGGAAAAATCCTCCTAGTAAGATTTCATTCAAAGTAGAAAAAATAACCCTTCTCCCTGCTGAAAGTCTTTGTAGTCAGATGACCGTTAAGGCCCATGGGCCTCTTGTTCTATCTAAGTCCATGGGTTTACATGTCTCAATGGAATTGCAAAAATACATATTGAAGGTATTGCTAAGTGATATTTTTTTTCTTGAAATTTAACAAGATCTTTTCTGTCAATATTTGACAGATCCCTTTAAAATTGGTGTGTTTTATCACCAAATGATGTAGTAATGTTTTACTTGGTGGGAGTTGTATCTACAATTTTGGAGATCCCCAATCTTACTTTTGAATCAACTTTTTACAAAATATTTCAGTGATGTCACTCTGCCTTCTTTAATTCTCTTCTGTCATTTTTATACAGCAGTTCACATAGGTCACATGTAAGATGTTAAAAAAAAGTCCAATAATTTATATAATTCAGAGAGAAAATTTATGAACACTAACATTAAAAATCTAATTGGTCAGGGTCAGTACAATAAAGTTTACTTCCCACAAATTCTACTAGGCTATGTATTTTTACAATTCTTACCAGAGCTGTTGTTCCATCAGGGTACTGAATGCACTGTGAAAGAATTGACATTTTCACTGCAAAAAACTTACAGGACTTTTCAAAAATGACTAAAAATATGGAAACTTGTTTTTACAACAAGTGATCTCACTGTAAAACATTGTAAAAATTGTAACAAATAATGTTTATGTATTTTACTTTGACATTGGTTGGCCATCATTTGTTTCCCTGGTGGAACTCTTGTTTTCTGATGTATAAACAAGATTGAGTGATTTGTAGAGAAGCTACTTTGGTACACTTTAGCTGAACATTTTAGGGATGATTATAAAAAGTTACAAACATTTTTAAAGGAAGACATGACAACATGATGGCTGTTAGAGAGAGTTTATTTCCTTGACTTACTTGGATACTAATCTACCACATGCTGTGCTGGATGAATACAGCAATATCAGCTTGATAAAGGTGTAACTATGTTCTATCATTCAAATACAAATAAAATATATTCATCTTCAAAACCTCTGAATACTGATCTACACTTCATACAGTCACTCTGCAAAAGGGAGATAACTTATATATTTCAATACTGATGATTGTAGGTCCCAATATTGGCCTTATCTAACTGTTGTATAATGGTGTGCATGGTCCCATGATTATTGTTTATTGATTTTATCCACTGAAGTAGATAATTTATTTCACAACAAAAGGATGCCCATAGAACAATCATCTAACAATGAATGTGTGTTCCCATTAAATGTGAAATATTTCAATCTTAGTCTGCATTAATTTTATACATTAGGTAATGAAGACTTCCCACAAATCTATATATCACAACTAGATAATATCACAGTTTAAAAACTATCACAAAAGAATCAGTCCACAAACCTAGACTACTTGTCACATTGTACGCTAATTTGATCAACTTTGAGTAAAACTACCGGGGTAGTACATGCTGCAGACCACAGAACTAGTTTATAGATAAATGTAACATTACAACCTTTTTTTCAACCATTGCCTCAACTCCACAGTTCATTCTTTATCCCTGTAGATTTCAATCCTACAACCTTCCATGTTTTCTGAGGTTTTTTCTGGTTCTTGGTTGTAACTACTGTCCCTGCATTGACTTCTGACCAAACTTTTCAACACTTTCAAACAACTTTTCTATAGACAGTCTCAATACTAGACCTGCACTTAATTCCTGTCTCAATGCTGGAATACGGTTGATCAATTCCTCTCCAATGAACACTTTAAATTGATTGTGCAGTTTGAAGTTTTACTTGTCACGAGTATCGTCCAGACTTGGAGCTTTACTTGTCACGAGTATCGTCCAGAGATGGAGCTTTACGAGTATCATCCAGAGATGGAGCTTTACTTGTCACGAGTATCATCCAGAGATGGAGCTTTACTTGTCACGAGTATCGTCCACACTTGGAGCTTTACTTGTCACGAGTATCATCCTGACTTGGAGCTTTACTTGTCACGAGTATCGTCCAGAGATGGATCTTTACGAGTATCATCCAGAGATGGAGCTTTACTTGTCACGAGTATCGTCCAGACTTGGAGCTTTACTTGTCACGAGTATCATCCAGACTTGGAGCTTTACTTGTTACGAGTATCGTCCAGAGATGGAGCTTTACTTGTCACGAGTATCGTCCAGAGATGGAGCTTTACTTGTCACGAGTATCGTCCAGAGATGGAGCTTTACTTGTCACGAGTATCATCCAGACTTGGAGCTTTACTTGTCACACGAGATATCTTTACGAGTATCGTCCAGAGATTGAGCTTTACTTGTCACGAGTATCGTCCAGAGATGGAGCTTTACTTGTCACGAGTATCATCCAGAGATGGAGCTTTACTTGTCACGAGTATCGTCCAGACTTGGAGCTTTACTTGTCACGAGTATCGTCCAGACTTGGAGCTTTACTTGTCACGAGTATCATCCAGACTTGGAGCTTTACTTGTCACGAGTATCATCCAGACTTGGAGCTTTACTTGTCACGAGTATCGTCCTGACTTGGAGCTTTACTTGTTACGAGTATCGTCCTGACTTGGAGCTTTACTTGTCACGAGTATCATCCAGAGGGTTGTCCACTACAGACTGGTGTATCATGATGAAGAGAGGGATGTAAGTGAGAAAGTCAAGCAGGTCAAGGGCATCCATATGGGACAGTGGGTTGAGGTCATTCATTTGAATAAACTTGTCCCAGCATGGACCCAATATTCTGACTTTTCTTATTGAGTGAAGTGCTAAACTCACTCCTGCTCATAAGCTATGGGCCAAGTATTAGCCCCCTAGGCCTTCTAGTATTTGAGAAGAAGTTATTTAAAGATTTTGACATATTTGACCCCTGTGACCTTGAAAGTTGTTCAAGGTCATTCATTTAAACAAACTTGATAGCCCTTCATCCCAGCATGCCACAGGCACAATATCAGCAATCTGAGCCTTTTGGTTATTGAGAAGAAGTTGTTTAAAGATTTTAACATATTTGACCCCTGTGACCTTTAAAGTGGGTCAAGCATTTGAACAAACACAAAGCTGGTCTATAGAAATCTTGTTGGTCTCCGGGTCAACATTGCATTCCCATAGTTTCTAAAACACACAAACAACTTAAATATGTGACACACTATCTATGATATACAAAAAAGCTTGTAAACGTTTACAATAAAAATCATAAACAGAAATTGTAAGAACTTCATTGTTAACAAGAAGTCTACATTTAGGACACAAAGGACAGTTTAGTGTGTAACTATCCATGATCCAGCAATTCTTAAAACACCAACCAATTCTGATACAAACTTGATGAAATATAATACCTTAAAAATGAATGAAAGTAATTGAAATAAGAGAATTAAAAAATCAACAAAAGATTCTTACCTTACACATAAATAACTTCATCTCCAACATACTAAAATCCATTTTACCAATCATGTTTCTCATCCAGTTACTGAAACATGGCAATAGAAACAGATTTATCACATAGATACAGTGAGAGAGTCTCAATATCACCTTTAAAAGATACGAGACACTGACATCTAAATCGTGTGGAGAAGCCTACTTAATCTTCATCAAAGAAACCACTGAGATCTGTTACTTACTCCAGAGCAGCAATTTTCTGTGAAAGAGCAGCTACCACTGAGAAGAGTTTGAAGTCTGCTCCATTTTTGATACTGTACCCTGTCAGCTCAAGTATCTGAAACATAAAAATAATTCAATAACCTATTTCTTTTTCTGTATGATAATTTTCTTTAATATTTTCTGCAATATCACCACATCACTGTGATTTTATTATATCAATGCAACAATTTACCACAAAGATACCTGCTTTGTCTGATACAGCTTATTACTGACAGCTCTAAGCTTTGATTAAGATTTCTCCAGGAATAAAATGTTATATATCTGTATATATATGAGGGCTGATGGGTAAGTTGTGAGTCTCATATTTAAGGGTTAAACTTTTGGTGGACATATTGCATTATTTTTCAACATCATCTCCTTCATTCCATTACTTAAATTGTTTTTTGGCCTGTGAGGTGAAATGATCGACCCATGCTTCATCCATAGTCACAAACCTCTGTCTGACCAATATCATGGACTTTATTGACCATTTCTGGGGTAGCAACAGTGACAGGTGTCATCTCCATGACTCTGCCTGCTACACATAAATTCTGCCACCCACCTTTTCACTGTAGTATATGAAGGGACATCATTCCTCTGAGCTGCTACCATATCAGTGTAGATATCCTTAGGTGCTAGACCTTCCTTATACAAATATCGAATCACTGCTCTTTCAGCAATTTTGTTTATTTTACAAAAGTCACTAGCTTTGTTTACTTTAAAGTACTACCTCTTCAACATGACACCAGTCTTCAGGCATACAGCTTTAAAATAGTCAGGGAAAAAGGTTATCCCTACTTAACTTCTTCAGTACAAGGCTCACAACTTTTCCATCAGTTCTCATAGATTATGTAGAGGGACATTTTGACATCCTTTAAATTCCTCATGATGAGATAATGATCAATCTGTGTCTTACCCTGTACAGATATTCTTCCTCTACCCTGGACAGTTTATTGTTGACAGCTCTCAGGGCTACCATAACCTCTGTTGCACTTAGCCAGCCTCGATCTTCATCATCTACCTTTTTTTACAAAAATATTTCATCATTAAATCTGTTTCAGAGATATTCAATCTCAATCTTCTCCACTTTCTTCCTTTAATCACTGTTTCTACCATTATTTAGGTTGAACACTACATGAGTCAAATGATTTAAACTTTACAGCGATATGATTAGTGATCTACCTGAATACCAAGACACCCTCACATTACTTCTTCATGTCCACAGAGATGGATTAATATACAAACCTAGGTCAAGGTCAAACAATGGTCATATTTCTCACTTTGATATGCAGTACATCATTTGACCCTGTATGATTTATTTTGTCTAAATACTTTAATTAGTATCGCTGATATACATGGTAAAGATAGTGGTATTTCAGGTTAAAGATCAAACAGAGGTCTCCATTCCCAATCTGGTTCAGTAACTTTGATGAAAATAAAGCAAATCTTAAGTCTACAGTCAATATATACCATGGAACACCAAAATATCATTACTGAGGTCAAAGTCAAATGTAAAATAGAGGTCACCAGGTCAAAGTCAAATGTAAAATAGAGGTCACCAGGTCAAAGTCAAATGTAAAATAGAGGTCACCAGGTCAAAGTCAAATGTAAAATAGAGGTCACCAGGTCAAAGTCAAATGTGAAATAGAGGTCACTTTGTTATTATGTGACATAGCAACACCTAGATTACCTAGGCAATTCCTTACAATATATCAGATATAGATACTGCCAAGTTCAAGGTCAAACAAGCAGTAACCCTGTGGAAGAACAGAGTCTTCCCTGAACTCTGCCTATGACAACATGTTTACATAGGAGGTCAGTTGTGATGTTAGTGAGTTATAGTCTGGTGCAGAACTGTTGAACAGGTAATGTGTACAGGTAAATCAGATAATCAAGTTCTGATAACTGTTCAGAAAACTGTTCATAACTATAAAATAAAGGAATCAAATATATTTGTTAAAACTGTTCCAATCCCAAGCTGTTTAATAGGAAATGTATAAAAGCCCAGTACATTTCGGAGAATTATCATATTTCAATCTGCACTTTGAAGCATCAATTTCTCATTGCTTGATTTATTACTTAACTTTTGTCATGCATATGTTAGTTAATCTTTTTTCTGCTTAGTGTAAAGTGTGTTTAATTTGAGTGCTATTATAATCTGTGTGATTTGATACAAGTAAAGGATGGCTAAAGCTCATATCAATGTTAAGGTCATCACCAACAGAAGAGGCGGACAGAACCTCTCGCATAATGGATTCATCTACAGACAGATTCCAAGGAACAGCAACAGGACATTATGGAGACTGAAGAAGAAGGTACTGCATGCCCACCCCAACATCTACACCATCAGCCAGACGCTTAAGGACATACAGAACATGAAAGACATCAGCCGTAATCAGAGAGATGCAGGAGGCACCATTAAACCCGTAAGAAGAAATACACCAACATTGACAGACGCCTGACCACATTGAAGGACCGTTATCAGACTGGGACTATAGACCTGGTGACCTATGCTGATTTAGCATCCGAGCTTCTCCATCTTGGATAGAGTGTTCTGTGTTTTCTAGTAGAGACTTATCTAGTACTTGACTATCAAAGGTTGTAAGAGGACATAATATCTAGGTAAAGTGGATAATGTATTGTCATAGATAAACGAGTCATTGCTAATTCAGCTTCGTTTAGGGGTTTACTGTTTATTTTAAATAATAGTTTATTTTAGTGTTAAAATGCACATATTGATTCACCATTACATGTATAAATATAAATTTAATTTAATTGCTGACATCAGTATATCAATGTGACTTAATGAATTTTATTCATTAATTAAACATAATCTTACATGATAATCAGTATATAAGGAATAATAATATTATATTAAATATATTATATTAATATTTAATATCTATCTTATAATACTTTTATATGCTAAATATTGTTTTACAATTAATTAAGACAAATAGAAGCTTTATCTATTTCATTATTGATATGTAAGTATCCTAGTCACAAAATAAGTTGACATTCTTAGTTGAAACAGACTATAACTTTAGCTTCAAAGGATTCCCTATATAAACACCTTCCTTACAAGTTGCCAGAGTTGGTGTTCGGGGAACGAGTCGAGTCGAGGAGTTGGAAGAACCTGACACTTTGAATGTACATCAAGTGTAATATTCAGAAGTCTAGAACATCTGCTCTGAACATTCCCAGAGAAAGACATACTGACTAACAATGACTGGGAAGTGACAGGTAAAAGTGACATCTAACATCTGGTCAAAGTCCTTCAACCTCAAGGACATCGAAGTCTTTTCAAGGAGAAATATCTCATCCTTGTCTTCTATCTTACTATTATCACATTGGTATGTATTGGAATGATGTTCTTTGTTATGTTTACATGCTATTTAACTATATCATATCCAAAAATTAATTTTCATGAGTCAAAATTTTTAATAATATTTATACAAATTAAGAGTTTCTTGACGTAGATGTTAAAGGACAAATAGTCTGGTGTCTCATTATTTCCTGAATTAGATTTTCGTGATCACCTTTATGACTACTGAGAAAAAGTGATAATTCAATCAAGTCATTTTATAGCCAATATCAAGTTGTCCTGACAACACAGGTGTGTTGGTGACATAAGCTTAGCATTTATATGTTCACCACAGTCTGTGCAGCTGAAAAATGAAAATGAGATACTAAAGAAAACTTACATTGTCAAATGTGTGTTTGAACATCTCAACACTGGTTTTGTTGAAAATACAGTATTTGGCCAGGAAACCATCTGTAAATGACAAAACAAGTCTTGTCAGTATTATAGTTTTTTATCATTTATAATTTTTGTTGAAGAACTCAAAATGGAGCTAAGACATTCCTCTGTGTCAATTTGTAGAAATGTTTTACCTTTGTCTATTCTATACACAACTCCTGTTGTATTTCAGCCATCAAAACTTGTTGTCACCATTACAACACTAGGTGTATTTTATTTTATTTCTTAACATTGACCCTGTCATCCCACCCTTCCCATCATTCCCTGGTATAACTTAAATTGTTAAAACTCCTTCCCATCATTCCCTGGTATAACATAAAATTGACAAGCTTGACCCTGTCATCCCACCCTTTCCATCATTCCCTTGTATAACTTACAGTCATCAAAATTAGGCCCATCATTGTCGCCATCTCCATTGATATCCCCCTGGTGTTTGCGGGCCCGAGCTTTCTCTAACATCTCCATGTGTTTCTGGCGACGTTGTTCTGCAAGCTCCTGTTGTCTTAGTTCATCTTCATAGGACGTGTCTTTAGAAAACTGTCGCCGTTTTAATTTTTTCTCAAGTTTTTTAACAATTGGCGTTTGTATTGATGTTTGCCGTCGTTTATCTGAGGTTTTCTGGCTTGACTTGATGACTCTATCAGGATCAGGTAGTGGAGGAGGAACATCAGTAGGCAAGGGAGGCAATTCCTCTCCTTCTGTACAAAAAACATGTAACAGGGTTAAACTCACTGGCCTTGATATTTACAGTAGGTTAAGGTCACTCTTTGAATTACATTTGATGTTTCTGAACTTCTCTTGATATATTCAATGAAAAGTCTCCAGCGACTTTGACAGCAATTCAGTTGGACCTAGAGAATATAACAACCAGATCTGGATTCAAACTCTTCCTTATTCTTAACCAATAAACTAGGCTGTTTTATTGGACCTTAGCTCTTCATTACCAGACTTCCTCTCAGTGTTTCCAACAACTAATGAGTCATCGTCATCATCCTGACCATAGATCCACGAGCCTGTTCTTCTGCTTGGTAGTTCCTGTGTAGGTGACTCCACCGGGGAATCAACCTTGCCCCCAACCCGACGCCGATCTCCTCTCTCCTTCTTTATAATAGAAAATTTCTGCCTTCCACTTGGTGACTGAAAGACAAAAATTTGACAATCAGTCCTGTGATGTTCTTTACTCTGTAGTAGAAAGGATTTAAACCTGATACAACAGTTACAGATCCTGCGGGTATTTATAAAACAAGAGGCCCAAGGGCCTTAACAGTCACCTGAGTTACAATGTTTTTTGTAACATGTCATAGAAATGATTTTGTTAAAAAAAGTTTAAAGATAACTTGTAATCAAGTTTGAACTATAAGAAATTTAACTCAAAAATTGAATTTTCCTTTATAAAATCTTCCCTCCATGAACAGTAGAGTATCCCTAAAGTTTCAGTCAATTTTTGGCCCCACCCATCATCCCATGGGGACCAGCAGAGGTCAATATGTGTATCTCATCAAACTGTCAGCTTATACTAATAATTCAAACCCAGTTTGAGCTAAAAGAAAAGTATAAAACAAATTATGCTCAAAAATATAATTTTCCTATATACACTATAGTAAATTTTACCCCCTCCAAAAGAGGGGAAATGTGAGACCTTAAGGCCATGCAACTGACATTTTTTGCCCCTCAGGCTCTTGGGGGTTGTGGACTATATAATTTACACTTTTGGTGTGTGCCTTAACCAATTGATGGTTTTTGTAAAATTTCATTGAAATCAGTTCAGGATTTTTTGCAAAGAAGTCGTAAATGTTAAAAGTTAACACGGCACAAAAGGGAATCACACTAGGTCACCTTGAGACTTTGTCTCAGGTCACCTAAAAATAATTTGTTTGTCAAATTTGCCTACAACTACCGGTAATTCAAATGACACACACATCATATCCTTGTGGCTAGTGGGAAGTTTACATATAGGCCCATGTGAAGGAGTCTGGTCATCTTCAGTTGGAGACAATGGTCCATTGTCACCTACTGTGGGGATGACTAATGTATTATATCCTAGTGGGTGGAATACTTACCCGTCCTCGTGAAGGAGGTCGGTCATCTACAGTCAGAGACAATGGTCCTGTTCGTGTGTCACCTACTGTAGGGATGACTTGTGTAGACACTTTACTGTTGTCCTCTGTAACATATTATCTTAGCTGTTACCCATTTCATCTTAACTGTAAAGTGTTACAATACTATATATATATAAGATATTGTGGTCATAGCACAGACATCAGTCAAAGAAAAAACATGTGATAATGACAACATTACGATACATAGGATACAGACATAAAAATATTAATAAGATACAGCGTGATCCTGCTTTTCCTATCCTACTACCTTCTATCCTGACCTCTGTATACAGGATCATCCTCTATCCTGACCTCTGTATACAGGATCATCCTCTATCCTGACCTCTGTATACAGGATCTATCCTGACCTCTGTATACAGGATCATCCTCTATTCTGATCTCTGTATACAGGGTAATCCTCTATCCTGATCTCTGTATACAGGATCATCCTCTATCCTGACCTCTGTATACAGGATCATCCTCTATCCTGACCTCTGTATACAGGATCATCCTATATCCTGACCTCTGTATACAGGATCTATCCTGACCTCTGTATACAGGATCATCCTATATCCTGACCTCTGTATACAGGATCTATCCTGACCTCTGTATACAGGATCATCCTCTATCCTGACCTCTGTATACAGGATTACCCTCTATCCTGACCTCTGTATACAGGATCATCCTCTATCCTGACCTCTGTATACAGGATCATCCTCTATCCTAACCTCTGTATACATGATCATCCTCTATCCCAAGGACCAATGATTACAGGATCATCCTCTATCCTGACCTCTGTATACAGGATCATCCTCTATCCTGACCTCTGTATACAGCATCATCCTCTATCCTGACCTCTGTATACAGGATCATCCTCTATCCTGACCTCTGTATACAGCATCATCCTCTATCATGACCTCTGTATACAGGATCATCCTCTATCCTGACCTCTGTATACAGGATCATCATCTATCCTGACCTTTGTATACAGGATCATCCTCTATCCTGACCTCTGTATACAGGATCATCCTCTATCCTGACCTCTGTATACAGGATCATCCTCTATCCTGATCTCTGTATACAGGACATCCTATATCCTGACCTCTGTATACAGGATCATCCTCTATCCTGACCTCTGTATACAGGATCATCCTCTATCCTGACCTTGACCCTGATATTGGCTACAGAAAAAAAGTAAACATATCATGAACAGCTACAGACATGAATAAAGCGTATATAATATATAGCAAACACTAAATCACAATGAGTTGAAACCTACAGGAAAGCTTGCAGGAATATAACATCCACTGTACACAAAACTGAGCAGCTATAAAGCATAGCAGCTACAAAAAAGCCTGGCTATAGATGATGGAACTCCAGCACTGTCTTCTAGTTACAATGTCTTAGCTGTCTTCAAATAGTGTCACACAGGATATATAACTTGGTTTAGTTCCAAACGATCTCCAAGACAGTAGTTTACTTTTCATGCTTCAGAAAAGTCATAAACCTTTTGACAACTAATTCTTAAATCGCACAAATGCTTCCATTATATTGCGTAGTTGTAAGAAAATTGTGTTTTGAGTGAGTTTATTGTGTGCTCAGTAGTGTTTAGATTTGTTATGCATTAAACATTCACGGCTAAACACATACAATAACATCTATTGTTGCTCACTGGTCCTGATTACATGTTGTCTTTGACAAATCTATTTAAACCTCACTAATAATGGCAGTTGTTGACAAAGCATTGTAGATCTGTTTTGGCTGTAGGACTTACTTTCACAGACAGCAGTCTACGTGGGTATTCAGGGCTACAGCAGGCTCCCCTCAGGGCTGCACTGTTGTAACCAGCTCACATAGTCATCAGTGTTCCAATATACAGACTTAATTAAACCATTCTACATAATATACTTACACAAACAATATCAACATAATGATAGGTAAAAAGAATCTATTAACTCTCTCATGTGTAATGTCAACTTAGGCTAAATCCCTACAGTGCCTCCCTAAATATTGATAATTCTAACTGTAATTGAATTTCAGTTTCTTTCAATGCTGGAAAACCATACGTCTAATACATCTAATTCATGTTTATCCTGATCAAACAAAGAAACCTTTACTATATAGATGTCAAATTCCATTGTATGACACTACAGTCTTCATAGGAAAAAATGGCTCAACAAGCCTGGCTATTTAGTTCTCAATGATTAAGAAATCATCACACATGTAAAGGGCCCACATTAAAATCACAAACAAGTACAGGCTTTAACTTAATGTAACAAATCATTCAATTTTAACCTTTAACAAATCATTCGTCTTACAACGTAAAACTGGTTTCAAAAGTTTCTTTTTTTCACAGGAACAATCATGTATAGTGTAAACATGTTCAACAACGTAATGGCTCATTAAACATCCAGTAAACTATTGTCACTTCAAAAATAACAAAATCAGAAAATGGGTCACAGATTAATTTTCATAGTAAAAAGACTTTTAATGCATTCTTCATTTCAACCCTGTAAAACATTCCTTAATTAAAATGTTGACATCCACACTAGCATTGCGAGGATTGAATACTTTTTCCTACATATACAGTCAATGTAAAGTGATGGGTCATCTGTAACGTCAACAGTGTAAAGTGATGGGTCATCTGTAATGTCAACACAGTGTAAAGTGATGGGTCATCTGTAATGTCAACAAAGTGTAAAGTGATGGGTCATCTGTAATGTCAACACAGTGTAAAGTGATGGGTCATCTGTAATGTCAACACAGTGCAAAATGATGGGTCATATGTAATGTCAACACAATGTAAAGTGATGGGTCATCTGTAATGTCAACACAGTGCAAAATGATGGGTCATCTGTAATGTCAACACAGTGTAAAGTGATGGGTCATCTGTAATGTCAACACAGTGCAAAATGATGGGTCATATGTAATGTCAACACAATGTAAAGTGATGGGTCATCTGTAATGTCAACACAGTGCAAAATGATGGATCATCTGTAATGTCAACACAATGTAAAGTGATGGGTCATCTGTAATGTCAACACAATGTAAAGTGATGGGTCATCTGTAATGTCAACACAGTGTAAAGTGATGGGTCACCTGTAATGTCAACACAGTCTAAAGTTATGGGTCATCTGTAATGTCAACACAGTGTAAAGTGATGGGTCATCTGTAATGTCAACACAGTGCAAAATGATGGGTCATCTGTAATGTCAACACAATGTAAAGTGATGGGTCATCTGTAATGTCAACACAGTGTAAAGTGATGGGTCATCTGTAATGTCAACACAATGTAAAATGATGGGTCATCTGTAATGTCAACACAGTGTAAAGTGATGGGTCATCTGTAATGTCAACACAATGTAAAATGATGGGTCATCTGTAATGTCAACACAGTGTAAAGTGATGGGTCATCTGTAATGTCAACACAGTGTAAAGTGATGGGTCATCTGTAATGTCAACACAGTGTAAAGTGATGGGTCATATGTAATGTCAACACAGTGTAAGTGATGGGTCATCTGTAATGTTAACACAGTGTAAAATGATGGGTCATCTGTAATGTCAACACAATGTAAAGTGATGGGTCATCTGTAATGTCAACGCAGTGCAAAATGATGGGTCATCTGTAATGTCAACACAGTGTAAAGTGATGGGTCATCTGTAATGTCAACACAGTGTAAAGTGATGGGTCATCTGTAATGTCAACACAGTGTAAAGTGATGGGTCATCTGTAATGTCAACACAGTGTAAGTGATGGGTCATCGGTTACACAGTCAAAGTAAAGAGGTGGGTTAATGAATACACCAATAGTCGATGTAAGGACATCTGTGATGCCAACAGAGTCAACATGAAGTGACATCAGTTCCAAAATCATTGTAAAGTGGCATCCATCATATCATATATGCTACACCAAGGTAGAGATTGACCTTGTTCATGTTCTTCTACCTTTAAATATACGTCGGTCTTTGACTTCAGAAAACTACTGATGTTTCAGTTTTCAGTTTTAATGCAATAGTACTAAATAAATAATGTTTACATATCTATCATTTAGGAGTCAATTACTCTTTATTGTAACATTTTAAATGCTACCCTGAAACAGAAAAAACTAATCAAATCATATACATTTCATTACCTTAAAATTTCTATGGAGAAAATGTTGCTATGACCAAGACATCCTTAAAAACCAAGCTTACATTCTGACTTATTTCTTCATATTTTAACATATACATTATAATTGAAATATGTTAAGACCAAACCAATACAGTCATACAAGCACATAAGGACATGTGTATGGTGACATGGAGGTCAGACATACTTGTGAGGACAGACTGATGTGTGTATGGTGACTTGGAGGTCAGACATACTTGTGAGGACAGACTGATGTGTGTATGGTGACTTGGAGGTCAGACATACTTGTGAAGACAGACTGATGTGAGTATAGTGACTTGGAAGTCAGACATACTTGTGAGGACAGACTGATGTGAGTATGGGTGACTTGGAGGTCAGACATACTTGTGAAGACAGACTGATGTGTGTATGGTGACTTGGAGGTCAGACATACTTGTGAGGACAGACTGATGTGTGTATGGTGACTTGGAGGTCAGACATACTTGTGAAGACAGACTGATGTGAGTATAGTGACTTGGAGGTCAGACATACTTGTGAAGACAGACTGATGTGTGTATGGTGACTTGGTGGTCAGACATACTTGTGAGGACAGACTGATGTGTGTATGGTGACTTGGTGGTCAGACATACTTGTGAAGACAGACTGATGTGTGTATGGTGACTTGGAGGTCAGACATACTTGTGAGGACAGACTGATGTGTGTATGGTGACTTGGAGGTCAGACATACTTGTGAGGACAGACTGATGTGTGTATGGTGACTTGGAGGTCAGACATACTTGTGAGGACAGACTGATGTGTGTATGGTGACTTGAAGGTCAGACATACTTGTGAAGACAGACTGATGTGTGTATGGTGACTTGGTGGTCAGACATACTTGTGAAGACAGACTGATGTGTGTATGGTGACTTGGAGGTCAGACATACTTGTGAAGACAGACTGATGTGTGTATGGTGACTTGGAGGTCAGACATACTTGTGAAGACAGACTGATGTGTGTATGGTGACTTGGAGGTCAGACATACTTGTGAAGACAGACTGATGTGTGTATAGTGACTTGGAGGTCAGACATACTTGTGAAGACAGACTGATGTGTGTATGGTGACTTGGAGGTCAGACATACTTGTGAAGACAGACTGATGTGTGTATAGTGACTTGGAGGTCAGACATACTTGTGAAGACAGACTGATGTGTGTATGGTGACTTGGAGGTCAGACATACTAAAGACAATATGCCTAACATTGGTGACACATCTGTTTTACATGAAACTAAAACTTTTTCACATAGTTGGACTGCAGAAGTTATAAACATTTTATTTCCACTGTACACCAGATAATCAATATAAGGTGGGTATGAGGTTTTTCACAAACAGAACATTTTTCTCTGAAGTAATGACGTAACTTAATGAAGATTAATTATTGACATGCATAAAATAAAGCCATTGTCACACCAGACATGCAAGACAACATTCTACAATGCAGGGGGAGGCTGGGGGTCGCAGTCACATCAAACAGCCATGCACACAGTAAGAGTTACCTCCCCTCTCATGGCCAGTCTGAAGAAATGCCACTGGCTGAGGCTTTGGCAGACTCATGTCCATATGGGGAAGGGGAAAGCCAAGCTGAGCAGGTTTCTCCTCAGCAGCTTTTGACCCTTTAGAGGTCACCTTTGCAGTTTTATCGTGGGACTCAACTGGCATGTGAATTTTGACATCTGACACTTCTTCCTCCGGGAGTTTGGCAAGAATTGGTGGTGGTTTGACAATGGGTAGACTAGAGGAGGCAGACTGCGTGTGTTTCATGACATCACTTATTTCAGGGAGACTGGGCTCTGATGGAAGTCATCGTCACATATTTTATTTTATCATTGGTTACAGAATACTTCATCAATTATACACAAATGTGTGTTTCGGTATGTCACAGAATACTTAATTATTTATATGGAGCTGTGTGTTACAGTTCATCATTTATACACAACTGCTTGTTACAGAATACTTCATCATAACGACATTAATATACAAAAAGTTTTTAAAAACAGAAATAAAGATAAACTATTGAAATCAACAATAGAAACAGAAAATAAAAAAAAATAAATATCAGCTATTGTTCCCCTGAAAAAGAATAGATATGCTGTAGCTTTGCTAGAGTTGTACTGAAGCAATGAAAAGTTAGGTGTTGTACCTTGACTGAGTTTGTTGTTAAGTTTGCTGCTGGACTTCTTGTCCAGTCTGCTGCGTGATGTTGATGTCCGACTAGTCGACTTACTAGCCTTCACTTTTGAGGATGACGTCTTTAGTTGACCGCTGCTGTTGCTGCTGGAGACGGAGGCTGGAAGCAGAGGCATCATCACAGCTATCGTGAAGACATTCTAACCAACAAATCTGTACTCTGGACTGGGGGGATGGGCTGAGGCTGGGACTGGGTGATGGGTGTTGGGGTCAGACAGTCTGAGAGATTACTAATTTAGGCATCATTGCAACTATCGTGAAGACATTCTAACCCAACAAATCTGTACTCTGGACTGGGGGGATGGGGCTGGGGCTGGGGCTGGGGCTGGGGAAGGGGCTGGGGCTGGGGCTGGGGCTGGGGCTGGGGCTGGGGCTGGTACTGGGACTGGGGGGCTGGGGCTGGGGCTGGGGCTGGGGCTGGGGAAGGGGCTGGGGCTGGGGCTGGGGCTGGGGCTGGGGCTGGGACTGGGGCTGGGGCTGGGGCTGGGGCTGGGGCTGGGGCTGGGGCTGGGGCTGGGGCTGGGGCTGGGGCTGGGGCTGGGGCTGGGACTGGGGCTGGGGCTGGGGATGGGGCTGGGACTGGGGCTGGGGCTGGGGCTGGCGCTGGGTGATGGGTGTTGGGGTCAGACAGTCTGAGAGATTACAAATTTAGGCATCATCGCAACTATCGTGTAGACATTCTAACCAACAAGTCTGTACTCTGGTCTGGGGGGATGGGGCTGGGGCTGGGGCTGGGTGTTGGTGTCAGACAGGCTGAGAGATTACTGTCACAATTATTGTGTAGACATTCTAACTCGCAAGTCTGTATCCTGGATGTGTATTTGATTAACCTAACTTGGGATTGAGGACAGAATGGTGTATTATATAACTAGAACCACTAACTTAGGACAAAATGTCCAGATTACTGATTTAGTGCAGACTGGGAGAATACTTTCTATATTTTTTAGACAGAATTGTGGATTAAAAATTTAGGACAGAATTTGAAACTTCTGATTTAGGACAAAATGTGGAATAACTTATTTAATTCAGACTGAGGGATTACTTATTTAGGAAAATGGGGTTACTAATAAGGACAGAATGTGAGATTTCTCATTTAGGACCAAATGGGGATTAATAATTTAATGCAGACTGAGGGATTACTTATTTAAGAATGAGTAGGTGATAACTATATAAATTTAGGACAGACAAGAAGCTTACTAAATTATTTAAGGATAAATCTCGAACGGCTGAATTACAAAGTATCACAACATTCCCACACAACAAGCCTTTCTGTCACTCTAATTTCAGTTGATTAAGATCTTACTGAATTCTGTAATGATACAATGCTGTAGATGGTTCCACTGACCATGGTTTTACCACTGTAAATGTGTGAAGACAGTGATCACAGCACCAATACACAAAGTCTAAAGCTCCTTCAGCTAGATCTATCATCACACAAATTCATCCAAATTAAGTTCTACTATTACAACAAAGTCACAACCTTCAGAAAAGCTTAATATAAAATTAATCATCAAGCAAAAAGCATTTTCTACGAGGTCCCCAAAACTGCAGTTGTATATTCACAATCTGTGTAACTAATCAGAACTCAGTAACAGATCACCACCAGCAGCAGCAGCACCAGATCCCCCATGATATACAATATACAGATTACAGGCTACATGTTATTCAGTATAAATATATACTACTTCAAGGAAAGCACTGTAATATTAATAACAAGAAATAAAAATTAACTTACCAGAACTTTTTTTGTTCTCTGAAATCAAGAAGAAAGACAGGTTGTAAACTTGTTGTGTTGATTCAATGTCACATGTACATGGATATGTTTGTGGATGTCATAAGCAGTGACTCCCATACAACCAGTTGGTAGAGCAAATACAATACTTCATACAGTGATATATCTTTACAAATATTCCTGTTTCATCTAATTTTTGAAATGGTTGCTAATCATGTCTTTAAAATATCATTTTTATTTCTTCAATTTACAATCCACTCCGTGATATGGTCAAAACTAGACAGACGGTGATATAATATGTAAGTCAATCTGTTACGTAATGCATGAGCAAAAGTTTGGGTCTAGTTCTAAAATTTAGACCCAAAAAAAAACCTGGTGAGAAGTAATCAATTAAAGATCCTGGTGTTTCTGACTAATTACCATTTTACCATGGTAACATGTTTCTATGTAATACAGAAGAAACACTAAGAAACCAGGTTTAAAGTAAAGTTAGACTGAGTTTTAATTTTATAAAGGGGGATGTTTTACAAGCCTTTACTTAAAATTAGAATATGTCTATAGGACATGAATGGAACAGGATATGATATGTGACACAACAGGACATAATATTTGATGGGACGATATATACTATGTAACAAAACAGGATATTATGTGGGATGCAACAGGACGTGACATGTGAGGTGACAGGATGTGATGTGTGATGTGACAGAATATGACATGTAAGGTGACAGGATGTGATGTGTGATGTGACAGAATATGGTATGTGAGGTGACAGGATGTGATGTGATGTGTGATGTGACAGAATATGGTATGTGAGGTGACAGGATGTGATGTGTGATGTGACAGAATATGATATGTGAGGTGACAGGATGTGATGTGTGATGTGACAGAATATGACATGTGAGGTGACAGGATGTGATGTGTGATGTGACAGAATATGACATGTGAGGTGACAGGATGTGATGTGTGATGTGACAGAATATGATATGTGAGGTGACAGGATGTGATGTGTGATGTGACAGAATATGATATGTGAGGTGACAGGATGTGATGCGTGATGTGACAGAATATGGTATATGAGGTGACAGGATGTGATGTGTGATGTGACAGAATATGATATGTGAGGTGACAGGATGTGATGTGTGACTTAACAGAATGTAATATTTGATTTGATGTAATATGTGATATTGCTACACAACAAGATGTAATATGCGACATGACAGGATGTGACAGACATTGATAACACTATATGCCCCCAATGAATAAATTGATAGGAGTGTGAACATCCCACTGTGTTTCAGATGGAGATCAAGTTAGTGAGGTATTTTTCCTGCAATAATCGCAGAGGTAAACACATAACTTCTGATTTAAAATCAAGGAGTGGGCTTACTACAGGTCACATTATTAGTTACTTATGGACAGCAGTAGATATACAGAACTACAGACTCTATATCTGTTACTGTATACTTACTGTGTGATAGTGATGGGAGGCGAACTGGCGATGGAAAAAGCAAAAATGAAAACCAAAACATCACACATAACTCCATCTCATCCTTAAAATCATGTTATTACATACATTTTTATCTTACTTAAAAAGCATTTAAGTATTTTGTGTAACATTTACTGAAAAAAATACATAAAGGGAAATAACTCCTGTAAGTCTGTAAGATTCATTTACTTTACACCAGGATAAGAGGTTATCTTATTAGTTCTATCATACCATCATAAATTCTACTGATCTATAAAATATTTTTAAGGTAGACATCATTCTCAGTGTAAACAAGGATTACAACACTAGCTAACACTGTCACAGGGTGTGGCTATAAATATATATAGTGCAAAGCTAAATACATGCAATAATAAATCCTAGCAACATGGCACATTACATAGAATATATTGGGATCTTTGACATCAAAATGACGTGAAAATATAAAAAAAAACCTTGTATATGTAACATTGTAATACTGCCAAATTTTAAGTGAATAAATGGTAAATGGGTAATGTGCCTGCCTGTATGATGATATTGTGGGTCACATTTTGATGACATTATGAGAGACATCATGATCAATTGTGGGTCACATTTTGATGACATTATGAGTGACATCATGATCAATTGTGGGTCACATTTTGATGACATTACGAGAGACATCATGATCAATTGTGGGTCACATTTTGATGACATTATGAGAGACATCATGATCACACTGTGGGTTGAAACAGAAATAATACAAAGTATTGAGATGTCTGCTCACTAAAGTCCCATTGGTAAATATATTGTGACAGAGGTCATTTTTCATCTGAATGCCTCCGGTAAGATCGCAACCGGGACCCCTGGCTTACTAGTCTGACGCTCAACCAATTGAGCTAATGAGAAGTTCTATCTAGCCGAGTGGTATATTGCAGCTATTATTTTACCAGGGTTACAATATACTTCTAGTGATGATTTGATCTAAGGTCCTGACTTTGTATTGCTGAGGTTTACTTACTCTAAGGCTCTTACAAAGTTTAAACAGGCAAGGAGATATATAAACATATATCTATATGATTATCCTTTTCTAATCAATGATGAGCCCAGGTATTTTGGAAACGGAGCATTTTAAAGGAAAGTGCTGCAGTTATCCAAGTGTGTCCTCACCTCTCCAATCCTGATATTACCAAGAATTGATTTGACTTCCCAAGGGAATTTCGACAAAATCAGGTAAAAATAAGAAATGATGATTGAGTGACGAAGCATTTAAATGCAAAACCCTCCTTTCTCCTTTTGTTACCAAGAAACTCCTATATAAGATATGTTTTCCTGCTGTTGTTTCAGACCATATTGGGTGAACATCTACAGAGATAATTCACAGAAGTAGTGTTCTAAAGCAAAAGTTGACAGACAGATAAGGAATGGACAATGCATTACTATGCTATGGTCTGAACTCACTATAACTTTGGTTTGTGCTAAAAGATAGACAAAGATCACCACATCAGAGTGACTAATAAGTTGATAACACAAAGCTATTCAGGTGAAGTATATTTTCCTTGGCTGAAAAGTAAACATCATGCACTATCTGTATACTGTAACATGCTGCATGCCTCATACAATACCTGAAACCTTAGGTCTGGATAGCCTAACATTCTGACCATGAGACTGACCAGTGGAAACTGAGTCAGAGGTCCAGTCTTCTCTAAACATGGTCAAATCCTCACCAGCAATCTCTGCATTTACTGTATATGATAAACCATATCCATTAAGATTCTCCTTATTCTTCCTTGCTTGATCTCATCTCTTTGTAATAAACAGTATCTATGAAGACTTTCCCCCACCTACCTTAATTGATCTCGTCTCTGTATATATCCACTACATTCTCCTCAGCCTACCTAGCTTGATCACATCTCTTTGTAATAAACAGTATCTATGAAGACTTTCCCCCACCTACCTTAATTGATCTCGTCTCTGTATATATCCACTACATTCTCCTCAGCCTACCTAGCTTGATCACATCTCTTTGTAATAAACAGTATCTATGAAGATATTTCCCCCACCTACCTTAATTGATATATCGTCTCTGTATATATCCACTACATTCTCCTCAGCCTACCTAGCTTGATCACATCTCTTTGTAATAAACAGTATCTATGAAGACTTTCCCCCACCTACCTTAATTGATCTCGTCTCTGTATATATCCACTAGAATCTCCTCAGCCTACCTAGCTTCATCACATCTCTGTATATATCCACTAGAATCTCCTCAGCCTACCTATCTTCATCACATCTCTGTATATATCCACTAGAATCTCCTCAGCCTACCTAGCTTCATCACATCTCTGTATATATCCACTAGAATCTCCTCAGCCTACCTAGCTTCATCACATCTCTGTATTCTCCAGTTATAAACCATATCTCCTCAGGATGAATGAACATTTTGCCATAGGTGGTCTTTAGAGCAGTTACCATATTTTCCGGCCTGTAAACTGCACCTGAGTATAAGCTGCAGGGCTGGGTTTTTTTTTTTTTTTTGCAATTTTCACAATTTCATTTCTTATGATATGATCACTGTTGTTGAATTTTGATTTACCAGCGACAGATAATGGGAGGCAGTTAACCAAGATTGTCTGTGTAAAACTTAATAAAGTTTACTGATGAATAGGTGTCTGGACTGTTAAATATTAACAAAGGGTATTGCATGCTGATAAAGAGGGTTTTCCATTAATTTTCATTAACTGGTACTCGTAAAAATCAGTTTATGATGTCTTGTACCTACATTTTTGGTTTGGTCCACCTATAAGTCGCACTAGCATATAAACCGTATGTGCGACTCACCAGGGAAAAAAACACAGCTTATAGACCAGAAAATAGGGTACTTAATACAGATAAAAATAAGAATTACTTTTGACTGAATATACTAGTGACACTTCAGCATTATTATCCTGATTTCAAGAATTTCCATGCAATCACTTACTGAGTTCCTCCTCTGCCAGTCTGTCTGCCTCTTCCTTGGCTAGCACTGCAGCCAGTGCAGCTGCCTTCTCTTCCTCCCGTTTTTTACGCATTTCTTCAAACATTCGTAGTTGTTCTCTGTGTTCTGCATCAGCAGCTTCCATAGCGTCTGTTGCAATGTCAATTTCACTCTTGGAGACAATGACATATTCCCCCTCCCTCAGTGACCACTCTGAAATAGTAGTTTGAAATATTGTCAAAGCATAAGGACCAAGGTGCTTATTATCAGATTAGATGAAACAAATGTTTACCATTAAAATGTAACATATTAATTCCCATTAACAATCTACTATGATTTTGTCAAGAATCGTGACCATGGGCTTTAAACAGTTTGGTAGATATCAATTACCACTACAAACTGGGTCTGTTTGTTGCTCGCTGGAGTCTGTACTTTTTACTGCGATATCTGCCTCTGATGTATCCAGGTTATCCTCTGTACTATCCCCCGTGATCTCTGTGTCATCCTCTGTCTGTCCATCTGTCCCTTCCTCAGTCTGTCCATCAGGCAGCAGTGTGTCCTTTGGCAGCATAACGTGCAGGTCCAGATCCACGTCATTCTGTGATGCACTGACTCCTGATCTACTTTCAGATTCTGGGGTCTGGAATCGAACCTTTTGTCCTATATAAAATAATGGGAATATGTTCTACTTTATTTAACACAAATGTTACTCTTTTGGAGCTCTTTAAATCACTTTCTGTCAAATAACATACTTAATTAAAAATTGATTATACTCTATTTTGATAAAAAAATAACCTTTGACCTACAATTGTCATTGTGAGGTGAAAATTACAGAAGAGTACAGAAGAGATGAATAAGGTTTGTGTGACCTACGTTTGTCCTTTAGAGATGAGTACAGAGGTGAAGATTAAGGTTTGTGTGACCTACGTTTGTCCTTTAGGAGATGAGTATAGAAGTGAAGAGTAAGGTTTGTGTGACCTACGTTTGTCCTGAAGAGATGAGTACAGAAATGAAGATTACGGTTTGTGTGACCTATGTTTGTCCTTTAGAAGATGAGTACAGAGGTGAAGATTAAGGTTTGTGTGACCTACGTTTGTCCTTTAGGAGATGAGTACAGAGGTGAAGATTAAGGTTTGTGTGACCTACGTTTGTCCTTTAGGAGATGAGTACACAGGTGAAGATTAAGGTTTGTGTGACCTACGTTTGTCCTTTAGGAAATGAGTACAGAGGTGAAGATTAAGGTTTGTGTGACCTACGTTTGTCCTTTAGGAGATGAGTACACAAGTGAAGATTAAGGTTTGTGTGACCTAAGTTTGTCCTTTAGGAGATGAGTACACAGGTGAAGATTAAGGTTTGTGTGACCTACGTTTGTCCTTTTGAGATGAGTACACAGGTGAAGATTAAGGTTTGTGTGACCTAAGTTTGTCCTTTAGGAGATGAGTACACAGGTGAAGATTAAGGTTTGTGTGACCTACGTTTGTCTTTGAGAGATTACACAAGTGAAAATTAAGGTTTGTGTGACCTACGTTTGTCCTTTAGGAGATGAGTACACAGGTGAAGATTAAGGTTTGTGTGACCTACGTTTGTCCTTTAGGAGATGAGTACAGAGGTGAAGATTAAGGTTTATGTGACCTACGTTTGTCCTTTAGGAGATGAGTACAGAGGTGAAGATTACGGTTTGTGTGACCTACGTTTGTCTTTGAGAGATTACACAAGTGAAGATTAAGGTTTGTGTGACCTACGTTTGTCCTTTAGAAATGAGTACACAAGTGAAGATTAAGGTTTGTGTGACCTACGTTTGTCCTTTAGAGATAAGTACAGAGGTGAAGATTAAGGTTTGTGTGACCTACGTTTGTCCTTTAGAAATGAGTACACAAGTGAAGATTAAGGTTTGTGTGACCTATTTTTGTCCTTTAGGAGATGAGTACACAGGTGAAGATTAAGGTTTGTGTGACCTACGTTTGTCCTTGAGAGATGAGTACAGAGGTGAAGATTAAGGTTTGTGTGACCTACGTTTGTCCTTTTGAGATGAGTACACAGGTGAAGATTAAGGTTTGTGTGACCTAAGTTTGTCCTTTAGGAGATGAGTACACAGGTGAAGATTAAGGTTTGTGTGACCTACGTTTGTCCTTTAGGAGATGAGTACACAGGTGAAGATTAAGGTTTGTGTGACCTACGTTTGTCCTTTAGGAGATGAGTACAGAGGTGAAGATTAAGGTTTGTGTGACCTACGTTTGTCCTTTAGGAGATGAGTACAGAGGTGAAGATTACGGTTTGTGTGACCTATGTTTGTCCTTGAGAGATTACACAAGTGAAGATTAAGGTTTGTGTGACCTACGTTTGTCCTTTAGAGATGAGTACAGAGGTGAAGATTAAGGTTTGTGTGACCTACGTTTGTCCTGAAGAGATGAGTACAGATGTAAAGATTAAGGTTTGTGTGACCTACGTTTGTCCTTTAGAGATGAGTACAGATGTAAAGATTAAGGTTTGTGTGACCTACGTTTGTCCTTTAGGAGATGAGTACACAGGTGAAGATTAAGGTTTGTGTGACCTACGTTTGTCCTTTAGGAGATGAGTACACAAGTGAAGATTAAGGTTTGTGTGACCTACGTTTGTCCTTTAGGAGATGAGTACAGAGGTGAAGATTAAGGTTTGTGTGACCTACGTTTGTCCTTTAGGAGATGAGTACAGAGGTGAAAATTAAGGTTTGTGTGACCTACGTTTGTCCTTTAGAGATAAGTACAGAGGTGAAGATTAAGGTTTGTGTGACCTATGTTTGTCCTTTAGAGATAAGTACAGAGGTGAAGATTAAGGTTTGTGTGACCTACGTTTGTCCTTTAGAGATAAGTACAGAGGTGAAGATTAAGGTTTGTGTAACCTACGTTTGTCCTTTAGAGATAAGTACAGAGGTGAAGATTAAGGTTTGTGTGACCTATGTTTGTCCTTTAGAGATAAGTACAGAGGTGAAGATTAAGGTTTGTGTGACCTATGTTTGTCCTTTAGAGATAAGTACAGAGGTGAAGATTAAGGTTTGTGTGACCTATGTTTGTCCTTTAGAAGATGAGTACAGAGGTAAAGATTAAGGTTTGTGTGACCTATGTTTGTCCTTTAGAGATAAGTACAGAGGTGAAGATTAAGGTTTGTGTGACCTATGTTTGTCCTTTAGAGATGAGTACAGAGGTGAATATTAAGGTTTGTGTGACCTATGTTTGTCCTTAAGAGATGAGTACAAAGGTGAAGAATAAGGTTTGTGTGACCTATGTTTGTCCTGAAGAGATGAGATCAGAAATGAAGATTACGGTTTGTGTGACCTATTTTTGTCCTTTTGAGATGAGTACAGAGGTAAAGATTAAGGTTTGTGTGACCTACGTTTGTCCTTGAGAGATGAGTATAGAGGTGAAGAGTAAGCTTTGCGCTGCTTCCGTTCTGCTGCAGCCTCATTTGCACGTTTCCGGAGAGCCTCTCGCTTCTTCAGCGTCTATCATAAAATCATAAATATATATATAAACAAAATTGTACTTCTGGACAACAACAAGGTTATTTGTTAATTATATTTTAGACTAATCTTAATCAACATGTTAGTTATGTTATGATAAGGAATATGTAAATTATAAAACAACTGCTTGTTAATATATATTACAATAAGTAATCACTGATACTAGAAAACATTAACACATTAGTTACTGGTTATATCACACAGATGTTACTGCTACAGTTGTGCCAGCATGCATTAGTATCACAAACCTCTCCTCTATCCCATCCTCACCATACCTCACCATAAAACAAGGACAACATGGGCTGACCAGCTTCCTTTCAGGGTGATATAACTGACCTCCAACAGCATAAAGATCCAACATGTACACAAGGACAGAATGAGTGCCAGACCACAATCATGTGGTGTGTGTCAAAAGTGGAAGGGAGGGACGTCAAGTTTGGAGAAGTGTCTTTAAAATTCATTGTGTGAGTGGTGGGAGATATGTTTATCATAAGACTGTAGAGGTGAGGAACTCATTGTGTGAGTGGTGGGAGGTATGTTTATTATAAGACTGTAGAGGTGAGGAACTCATTGTGTGAGTGGTGGGAGGTATGTTTATTATAAGACTGTAGAGGTGAGGAACTCATTGTGTGAGTGGTGGGAGGTATGTTTATTATAAGACTGTAGAGGTGAGGAACTCATTGTGTGAGTGGTGGGAGGTATGTTTATTATAAGACTGTAGAGGTGAGGAACTCATTGTGTGAGTGGTGGGAGATATGTTTATCATAAGACTGTAGTGGTGAGGAACTCATTGTGTGAGTGGTGGGAGGTATGTTTATTATAAGACTGTAGAGGTGAGGAACTCATTGTGTGAGTGGTGGGAGGTATGTTTATTATAAGACTGTAGAGGTGAGGAACTCATTGTGTGAGTGGTGGGAGGTATGTTTATTATAAGACTGTAGAGGTGAGGAACTCATTGTGTGAGTGGTGGGAGGTATGTTTATTATAAGACTGTAGAGGTGAGGGAGATAGGGATCTGCATTACCACTAGTCTGTGAGTGTGGAGATGGTTAGGAGGGAGCACAGCTTGATGATACAGTCCACAAAGTCCACATTTGACGCTGTTTTTGTGCTGCTCCATGTGGATCTCATAGCGAGTACATTTGTGGTCACAAACAGCACAATCTTGCTGATGAAGAACTGGAGTCTGGGGAGATGGGTTAGTAAATATAGATCATGGGCATATAAATCAGCAGGGATATCAAACCTAATAGTAAGGATGTCATATTGAACAGTAGGAATGTCACACAAAACAGTAGGTATGTCATATAGAACAGTAGGTATGTCATACAAAACAGTAGGTATGTCACAGGAACAGTAGGTATGTCATATAGAACAGTAGGTATGTCACACAAAACAGTAGGTATGTCATATAGAAAAGTAGGCATGTCATACGAACAGTAGGTATGTCATACAAAACAGTTGGTATGTCATAGGAACAGTAGGTATGTCATATAGAACAGTAGGTATTTCATACAGAATAGTAGGTATGTCATATAGAACAGTAGGTATGTCATACAGAACAGTAGGTATGTCACACAAAACAGTAGGTATTTCATACAGAATAGTAGGTATGTCATACAGAACAGTAGGTATGTCATACAAAACAGTTGGTATGTCATAGGAACAGTAGGTATGTCATACAAAACAGTAGGTATGTCATACAAATCAGTAGGTATGTCACACAAAACAGTAGGTATGTCATATAGAACAGTAGGTATGTCATATAGAACAGTAGGTATGTCACACAAAACAGTAGGTATGTCATACAAAACAGTAGGTATGTCATATAGAACAGTAGGTATGTCATACAGAACAGTAGGTATGTCATATAGAACAGTAGGTATGTCATATAGAACAGTAGGTATGTCATACAGAACAGTAGGTATGTCATACAGAACAGTAGGTATGTCATACAGAACAGTAGGTATGTCATACAAAACAGTAGGTATGTCATAGGAACAGTAGGTATGTCATACAAAACAGTAGGTATGTCACACAAAACAGTAGGTATGTCATACAGAACAGTAGGTATGTCATACAGAACAGTAGGTATGTCACACAAAACAGTAGGTATGTCATATAGAACAGTAGGTATTTCATACAGAATAGTAGGTATGTCATATAGAACAGTTGGTTACGTCAAAAGAAGTCCTTTAAAATTATTTATCAACCAACACTTAAATACGTTACAATGCTTAGGTTTGTGTCGTATAAAAATATAGTGCCAGACATTAGAATTTCACAGGGTGAATCTATTTTATATAGACCATAAACCATAGTTAGTACTCATGTTAGATAATAAACCCATGTGTAATATACAAGTATGTTGGAAACTGTGACAGATCTACACAAACGATGTACTAAAGTACATGCAAACACTTGATATAACTCCATTTCATTACACATTTAGTAGACTAAAGTAGTGTTTCCAGTACTTCAGAATACTTCAGGGGTATACTAGGGCCTTATCAATTTTATCTGTTAAATCAACAGCTGATTTCATGTATCATTGTTTTGTTATCATTATATACTTAACATGATAGAAGATTCATCTGCCAATTTCTCTATATAGTAGATATCATTGTGTTTGTAATACGTGATTGCTATCTCTATAACTGTTGACACAGAGGATAAAGTTATGTACACCTGTCTGTTAACACGATCTATCATCACACAAAAACACTGGTCATTACCTCTTTCAATGTCGCGTATAATTTTTCTACGACTGGTGCAGTTCCTATGAAACTCACGTATGAAGGCTTCTGAAGCTGAAAATCAGTACAAACATAATCATAGTATCTCTGGTCTCACTTGAAAATCAACTTCAACTCCTTCCTTTCCTTCAGAATCAAACCACTTCTTTTTTAACTTATATGTAATGAGGTCCCTACCCCTCAACTACCATGATGGTTTATACTGAGGTCCACACCCTGTGATGGTTTATACTGAGGTCCACACCCTATAACAGTGATGGTTTATACTGAGGTCCACAACCTATAACAGTGATGGTTTATACAGAGGTCTACACCCTGTGATGGTTTATACTGAGGTCCACACCCTGTGATGGTTTATACTGAGGTCCACACCCTATAACAGTGATGGTTTATACTGAGGTCCACACCCTGTGATGGTTTATACTGAGGTCCACACCCTATAACAGTGATGTTTTATACTGAGGTCCACAACCTATAACAGTGATGGTTTATACTGAAGTCCACACCCTGTGATGGTTTATACTGAGGTCCACACCCTGTGATGGTTTATACTGAGGTCCACACCCTATAACAGTGATGGTTTATACTGAGGTCCACACCCTGTGATGGTTTATACTGAGGTCCACACCCTGTGATGGTTTATACTGAGGTCCACACCCTGTGATGGTTTATACTGAGGTCCACACCCTGTGATGGTTTATACTATAACAGTGATGGAGGTCCACAACCTATAACAGTGATGGTTTATACTGAGGTCCACACCCTGTGATGGTTTATACTGAGGTCCACACCCTGTGATGGTTTATACTGAGGTCCACACCCTGTGATGGTTTATACTGAGGTCCACAACCTATAACAGTGATGGTTTATACTGAGGTCCACACCCTATAACAGTGATGGTTTATACTGAGGTCCACACCCTGTGATGGTTTATACTGAGGTCCACACCCTGTGATGGTTTATACTGAGGTCCACACCCTATAACAGTAACTGATCTGAAATCCCTTACTCAGACTAAGTTAGGATATTGATATGTATGAAGTCAGTTCAATAATTTCATCAGTCACTTGCTGCTCTCATATTGTAGATATATATATATATATATGAAACATGCTGTAATGACTAAGTTGAAATCACAGATTAAGTTAACTCTGAGGTAAAAAAGAATATATATACATTTATGTTTGGTAATATCACTTATTTACCAGAATTCAAAACATATCAGCACAACTAAATCCATCCAAACACCCGGCCCTGTTATCACAGAAAATCTCACCAGCCATTTAAAATGCAGAAGATTACATTTGACACAATGTATAGAATCAGCTTTGAGATGTATATTATACCCACCCCAGTGTTAAAGTTACACAAACATGCTCTCTGAGAGAAACAACATTTTTGTTTACTTTCTTAATCTAATGTACATAAATCTGTTTATACAAGGTAAAAAAAACAAACAAAAGTTTGGTTACTGACACTTTCAGAATATTTCAAAGAAAATCTTTCACTATGAAATCATCAAAAACCAATTGGCCTCCCCATAAAAAAAAATTTCATGATCCTTACTTAACTAACAAAGTTATGCTCTTAACACGAAAGGACAAATGGAGGACAGGCAAAGCGGTGACTATATGCTCCTCCTGGAAATTTTCAGGAAGCATGAAAAAAATCCAAATGTTGTTAATAATTTAATCAATGATCTTGGTGCCTATTGTTTAAGTGTTGAATGCAGTGGAAGATATAAAGCCCCAAGAGGTTCACCATTTGCCACAACCTGTCATTGTGATTGGCGACTTCAAAATGAGATATTTATAACTGGCATTATTAAAACGCTCACAGGTTTATAGTGAGGAAAATCCTTGATATTAAGCATTTTGGCAACTATTATGATATAAAGTTAGAAAGGATATTGGTTTAAGTCCCAACATTGTCCCATCTCTGTCAACATATCATAAAACAAAGTTACAACATTGTCCTATCTCTGTCAACATGTAGTAAAACAAAGTTACAGCATTGTCCCACTGCTGTCAACATGTAGTAAAACAAAGTTACAACATTGTCCCACTGCTGTCAACATGTAGTAAAACAAAGTTACAACACTGTCCCACTGCTGTCAACATGTAGTAAAACAAAGTTACAACACTGTCCCACTGCTGTCAACATGTAGTAAAACAAAGTTACAACATTGTCCCACCGCTGTCAACATGTAGTAAAACAAAGTTACAACATTGTCCTATCTCTGTCAACATGTAGTAAAACAATGTTACAACATTGTCCTATCTCTGTCAACATGTAGTAAAACAAAGTTACAACATTGTCCCACCGCTGTCAACATGTAGTAAAACAAAGTTACAACATTGTCCTATCTCTGTCAACATGCCATTAAACAAAGTTACAACATTGTCCTATCTCTGTCAACATGCCATTAAACAAAGTTACAACATTGTCCTATCTCTGTCAACATGTAGTAAAACAAAGTTACAACATTGTCCCACTGCTGTCAACATGTAGTAAAACAAAGTTACAACACTGTCCCACTGCTGTCAACATGTAGTAAAACAAAGTTACAACACTGTCCCACTGCTGTCAACATGTAGTAAAACAAAGTTACAACATTGTCCTATCTCTGTCAACATGTAGTAAAACAAAGTTACAACACTGTCCCACCGCTGTCAACATGTAGTAAAACAAAGTTACAACATTGTCCTATCTCTGTCAACATGTAGTAAAACAAAGTTACAACATTGTCCTATCTCTGTCAACATGTAGTAAAACAAAGTTACACCATTGTCCTATCTCTGTCAACATGTAGTAAAACAAAGTTACAACACTGTCCCACCGCTGTCAACATGTAGTAAAACAAAGTTACAACATTGTCCTATCTCTGTCAACATGTAATAAAACAAAGTTACAACATTGTCCTATCTCTGTCAACATGTAGTAAAACAAAGTTACAACACTGTCCCACCGCTGTCAACATGTAGTAAAACAAAGTTACAACATTGTCCTATCTCTGTCAACATGTAGTAAAACAAAGTTACAACATTGTCCCACTGCTGTCAACATGTAGTAAAACAAAGTTACAACATTGTCCTATTTTTGTCAACATGTAGTAAAACAAAGTTACAACACTGTCCTATCTCTGTCAACATGTAGTAAAACAAGTTACAACATTGTCCCACTGCTGTCAACATGTAGTAAAACAAAGACACAACACTGTCCCACCGCTGTCAACATGTAGTAAAACAAAGTTACAACATTGTCCTATCTCTGTCAACATGTATTAAAACAAAGTTACAACACTGTCCCACCGCTGTCAACATGTAGTAAAACAAAGTTACAACATTGTCCTATCTCTGTCAACATGTAATAAAACAAAGTTACAACATTGTCCTATCTCTGTCAACATGTAGTAAAACAAAGTTACAACATTGTCCTATCTCTGTCAACATGTAGTAAAACAAAGTTACAACATTGTCCTATCTCTGTCAACATGTAATAAAACAAAGTTACAACATTGTCCTATCTCTGTCAACATGTAGTAAAACAAAGTTACAACATTGTCCTATCTCTGTCAACATGTAGTAAAACAAAGTTACAACATTGTCCTATCTCTGTCAACATGTAATAAAACAAAGTTACAACATTGTCCTATCTCTGTCAACATGTAATAAAACAAAGTTACAACATTGTCCTATCTCTGTCAACATGTAGTAAAACAAAGTTACAACATTGTCCTATCTCTGTCAACATGTAGTAAAACAAAGTTACAACATTGTCCTATCTCTGTCAACATGTAATAAAACAAAGTTACAACATTGTCCTATCTCTGTCAACATGTAGTAAAACAAAGTTACAACATTGTCCTATCTCTGTCAACATGTAGTAAAACAAAGTTACAACACTGTCCCACCGCTGTCAACATGTAGTAAAACAAAGTTACAACATTGTCCTATCTCTGTCAACATGTAGTAAAACAAAGTTACAACATTGTCCTATCTCTGTCAACATGTAATAAAACAAAGTTACAACATTGTCCTATCTCTGTCAACATGTAGTAAAACAAAGTTACAACATTGTCCTATCTCTGTCAACATGTAGTAAAACAAAGTTACAACACTGTCCCACCGCTGTCAACATGTAGTAAAACAAAGTTACAACATTGTCCTATCTCTGTCAACATGTAATAAAACAAAGTTACAACATAGTCCTATCTCTGTCAACATGTAGTAAAACAAAGTTACAACATTGTCCTATCTCTGTCAACATGTAGTAAAACAAAGTTACAACATTGTCCTATCTCTGTCAACATGTAGTAAAACAAAGTTACAACATTGTCCCACTGCTGTCAACATGTAGTAAAACAAAGTTACAACACTGTCCCACTGCTGTCAACATGTAGTAAAACAAAGTTACAACACTGTCCCACTGCTGTCAACATGTAGTAAAACAAAGTTACAACACTGTCCCACTGCTGTCAACATGTAGTAAAACAAAGTTACAACACTGTCCCACTGCTGTCAACATGTAGTAAAACAAAGTTACAACACTGTCCCACCGCTGTCAACATGTAGTAAAACAAAGTTACAACATTGTCCTATCTCTGTCAACATGTAGTAAAACAAAGTTACAACATTGTCCTATCTCTGTCAACATGTAGTAAAACAATGTTACAACATTGTCCTATCTCTGTCAACATGTAGTAAAACAAAGTTACAACATTGTCCCACTGCTGTCAACATGTAGTAAAACAAAGTTACAACATTGTCCTATCTCTGTCAACATGTAGTAAAACAAAGTTACAACATTGTCCTATCTCTGTCAACATGTAGTAAAACAAAGTTACAACATTGTCCTATCTCTGTCAACATGTAGTAAAACAAAGTTACAACATTGTCCTATCTCTGTCAACATGTAGTAAAACAAAGTTACAACATTGTCCTATCTCTGTCAACATGTAGTAAAACAAAGTTACAACATTGTCCTATCTCTGTCAACATGTAGTAAAACAAAGTTACAACATTGTCCTATCTCTGTCAACATGTAGTAAAACA